CCTTTTTAAATGTAAAGCCATTGAGTTTACCTATAGTCTCCATTTAATTAACTTCTTTATAGTTTTGTCTACTAATATTACTTTGCCTCAACTCCTAGACTCTTGCATGATAAATTTCATTATATCACCTATCATATGGCATGATCATCCACTATTCAAGCACCACATGCCTTCAATTAACCCCTTTTCTAGGCATGACTACAAGAATAATCAAGGTGAGCACCATGAAACCTAGAAATTCTTAAATCTCAAAATATGAGAATATGAGGCCATGACATGCTATGCTACGTAGCCCACATGAGAGAATGTTCATTCCGACTTTCAAAATCCCTAACATGCTTGGGTCAGATCAGGTCAACCTAATAATGCACATGGGTTGAGTCCAATTCAGTAAGCCTGGTTCATTTGTAAAACCCAGTCAGCTTAGGGTCAAGATGTTTAAACCCTAGTTAACTCAGGTTGGACCTGAACCTAACCCGCTGACCCATTTTGACACCCCTAATCTAAGTAATCCATCAATCCTATAGAGGATCCCTCACCAGTTGTAGCATAGCTCTTTCAAAATCTTATGTAGTCTTCCTATAATATATTATATAAGTATAACAGTTATATCAATGTCACTTAAACATTCTTATTAATATTTCAAGTTTTAATCTCACAAAGGCCTTCCTGCTCATTGATCCACCCACTATTGGTCCACTTTTTATTGGTGGGTACGAGTGTGCAACTCAATGGTAGTGGGTTTTCTACCCAGCACTTCTTTCTATAAAAGAATTTGATAATTATGCATAACAAGGATACATTCTTTGGTAAGTGTGTAGAATTGAACTGCCAGTATGGAGGACGCTTCCTATGCCCCTAATATTTAAAGACAAATTTAACATATTCTCATCCCTCCTAATATAATATGGACTGGCCTAACATCATAGTCAAGCTAGCCAACAACCCTCACTAATCCAAAGTGGACTCTCGCCAACTTCATAATTAATATAAATATATCTCACCCAAAATTTGAATTGTTTTTTTTTTTTTCAAAATTATTTCTTGTCTTTGCATTATGCTTTGGTAACTAAAGGGGCAGTGGAGGAACCTAAAGACTTGTTAAAAAAAATTAGGGCTCTATAAATCCTTAAATAATGCTTAAATTTTTTTTTTATATAAAAATTATAAAAACTCCTCTTAATATACACATTTAGACGTGCTAATCTAAATAATGTAGTGATAAAGTAGAGTATCGATCCCACGAGGAAGAATATTTACTTGCAACTATTAGTACTATCTGGTTCAACAACAATAATTATTATATTCAATAAAAATAAATTTTGGTAGAGATTCAGTAACTTTATTTAAAATGAAAAATAATTAACTAGAACACAATTTAGATAAATTTTTTTTATTGATGAAATATAAATATAATATGTTTCATAATGATTCCCTTTTATATTGTTGATATTCAAAGCATATGATTCATCAACCACTCAATCAATCTTGAAGAGACAAAGGTTGGATTAAACTCTTACAACCTTAATACCACTCTAAACTCCAATAGTCGATCTCCCTATGAAATCTTAGAAGAGCAAGAAAAGCATGTATTGTTAAAAATTCCTTATGATAATTCATCTCTATAAATTTGATACATGATAAGCATTATGCTTATGCTTGCATCATACCAATCCAATATAGCTGGTCATTCCTTCTTTTTGATTCCTAGGCTCCATATTACACATGATATTAACTACATATATATACACTATGTACATTAAAAGAAGACCTAGTATATATAAAACATCATAGAATTATTGATAAAGAGAACTCATTAGTACTTCATTCATTTATATCATCATTTTAAAACTAAACATTTTATCCAGACATAAGAACAAGTGAAGCATATTCATTTTCATTAATTGCACAAGTGAAAGAAAGTACAAAAGAAAACATATCATCATATGGTTTTATTGATCTCCTCTACACTCCTCTTGGAACTCACAGAATCGCTTCAAGATCACAAATCAAACACTTTAAGGTAATATATCTAGTACTTCTCTAAATTCTCTTATATGTCACTCTAAAGAAAAATCGTAGAAGAACTATAGAAAAATATAAAAAAAAAATGGATTAGGTGCCACAACATTCAAGCACTTGCATCGTGACACCCATAAAATGAACTAATGCCATGGCGGTGATGGGCTTCGCTATGCACTTATAAAAATGGACACATTGTTTAATGAATAGACACTTTGCTTCACTGGTAGATCATGGCATGAACAATTATAACTATAGTTTCGTGTCACTACTCATGGTTAAGTGCTATGACACCCACATCGCACTCCTATGACTTAGAAGCACTGGATTTTGTATTGTCGTGCTGTGCAGTTATAGACTGGGCTTTTTAACATTTACTACTATGATATTGCAGCACGGGGATAATAAAGGCTTTGCAATGCTGACTCATCCAACACAAAAAAATTGTTAAACAAAGGCAGGGCACTACCATACCCATATTTGGGCACTCCAGTGGTGTCAATGATGGCTCCACAATGGTATTGCATCTAACGCCATGGTATTGTACCATTCATTAAAATTTTGCTCCTTTCTTGTATTTTCCTGCATAAATACAACTATAATAATACATTTTCACTAAAAAATTAACACATATAATATAACATTATTTACACTTATTAAGTTCTTCCCAACTTAATTTCTTTCTTATCCTCAAACAAATAAAAAGTTTGTAATTCTAATTAAATGATTAACTAAAATAAAATGTGAAAATTTTAAAATTACTAAAATAAAGTATAAAACATCATTGTTTAGAAATAATGAAAATGAATCAAAGCTATACTTCTAGTTTTAAGAAATACCAATAATTAAACTTAATCAATAATTCTTATGTTTATCTAATTTGAAGTTATAGGTTATAGATTTATTCTTTAACTTTTAAATATTGAAGTGAATAATTTAGTTTTGATAATTTGATATGATTATAGTTAAAATTTTACTTTCATTAGTTCACCATCCCTTGTATTAGCTCTCTCATCTTATCATTTATAATTTATGTATAAGATTATTTTTTTAATCTTTAAGCTTTCACTAATACCAATTTTTGAATGTGTACATCTTTTTTTATTTTTCATTTCTTTTTCTTTTAAGAACTATTTGTAGTTATTTTTCTTTTCTTTTCTTCTGTGGTGTACATAATTAATAATTTTGAATATCAGCTTCTACTTTAGAATTCTCATATATTCTTAATAATTTTGATTACGAACTTCATGAGATTACTAATTCTATCTTCAGGTTAGCAATAATTTCAAATTTTAATCTACTTATATCTAACTTTTAATGCTAATTATTCATCTTACAATTTTTAAAAGTTCAATTCGTAGATGTATAACTTATAAATTCAAATTAGAGTAATAGCCCAAATGGTTGAATGAGTTAAGTATTATATATTCCAACCTATGAAGTATAAACAAAGCTTATTCAAACTAGGATCGAGGGTTTTATTATTATCCTAATTTTTTGTAATTTTTAATTATCTTTTTTATAAGGGTTTTTAAATAGTCAGAATATAAAAGTATTTGGAGGACAATAATAATTTAAGCATAAAAAAATTTAATAATCTATAAATAAACATTACAAAACATGCTTTCATAGGAGTGATAAAAAGCACATAAAATATGTGTTGAAAATAAAAATATATTTATTATTATTATTATTATTATTATTGTTGTTGTTGTTGTTTTTGTTGTTGTTGTTGTTATTATTATTATTAACATGAGACACTTATAGGATATCAAGCACACATGGCACCCAACATTTAATAATGATATAAAAACAAAAATTTTCAATTAAGTATAATTACCCAAGCCAAAATCTCCCAACACTTCCTTCTCTTCTACAAAATAATATAGTAGAATAACAAAAACACATGCATATCCTTAAGAATTCTTCGCTCCTCTAATCACATGGTTTCAATCTATACCCATTGACTTATTTGGTTTGCAATATTTTCTTGTCTTGTATCAAGATAAAACCATTAAGAAAAATTCTAAAGATAGTGAAAGTATCAATCCATCCAGAGTTGATTTTTTCATGGCAATACTTTTTCTTATAATCAAATAGCAATACATCTTGACCAGGAAAAAAACCATAAAAGAAAAGTCTACAACTATGCATCTTTCTTATTTCCAACATGTAATCCTTAACATAATACAACTCTTCTTTAGATTCTTTCAACTCAGTAATAATGGTAGCACTTTGCATATGGAGAGGTGAAAGAATCCTCATTTTTGTAAGTCTTTAATTTTAGTTGTTTGAAGAAGAGGATGTATACTTGATTCTACCTATCACTTAGAATTTGATTTTCCAATATAAAAATATTATTCTCACCCAATAATGGAGAAGTAATGAAAATATAACTTTCTCCTAATTGGTTTTATAGATTTTAGTGGGAGGGAAGTATGAATATTTTTAAATTTCAATCATTAATGGCCATCGAGGCACTGTGGCATCATAAAAGTTTGCAGCTGCGGTGCTCTATTCTTCTCTCAAATGTTAAAAAAAAATAAATTAAATGATGGCTAATCTAGAAGATAAGGTTGCCTCCCTAAAAGATCTAATTTTATAGTATTCAGTGAGACTAGATAACTAATAAGACCTAAGATTGGCTTTCCTCCCAAGCAACACTAAGTCTATTGTCTTTATCCATACTTTGTTTGGATTTTCCATTTGTCTTAGGTGGATGCTTGTTATTCTTCAATTAGGTCCCATTTTTATCTCTCTCATTCTCTTTAAGATTAACTTTAGTGTTTCTAGGAAGAGATCCAATGGGCCTACTACTCATAAAATTGCCAGCAAACTTAATTGAGTTTCCAAATATTTAATTGAAGTAGATTGGTTTTGTAATTGAGTTCCCAATTTCATGACTACATATTCTAGAGGTGTCTTCCTAGTTCCATACTAATTTCTTTAATTAAATTTGAATTATCAACCAATTAGGTAAATTATGGTTTGAGCACTTTTTAAGCATCTCCATGAATCTTTCCCAACTCTCAAAAATAGATTCTCCTTCTAACTAAGTAAAAGAAGTAATATCATTTCTATGTTTGATAATCTTAAAAGGTGGGAAACACTTTTTGATAAGATTATGGGCCAACTTGTTCCATTTGGTAATAGAGTATGGAAGTAAAGAATTTAACCACATTTTTGTCTTGTCTCTTAGAGAAAATGATAACAATCTAAGTCTAATGGCATCATCACTAACACCATTATACTTAAATGTTGCACAAATTTCTAAGAAATGTTCTAAATATAGGTTGGGTCTTTAATAGGAGTTCCCCCAAATTGAAAATTTTGTACCATCATAATGATTGGAGATTTAAATTCAAAATTATCTTTGTGTATTGTGGGTCTATTTATGGTTTGGAAAATTTTGTATATTAAAGGGTTCATAAAATCTTTAAGGGCTCTTGAAAATTCTAAGTTCTGATCAGGGTCACGCATTTTAAAAATACTATTTGTAGTTTTAATTTAGAAAGGCTTCTCTAAATTTCAGAATCCAAATTTAAATGTGCCTCCCCTTTATATCTTGTAAGCATACAAGCACGGATATGCAATCAACAAATTAAAATAAAAGAATAAAATAATATAGTATGACTAATTATATAATTTATTTATCAATATTATAAATTTATAAATAAAATGAATTCTTCCCTGATAATAGTGCCAAAAACTTGAGTAATCTAAAAATTGTGAAAATGAATTAGGGCTCTATCAATCCCTAAATAATACTTATATTTTCTTTGATAAAAAAATTATAAAACCCCATTTAATATACATAGTATATATGGTTAATAAAGTAATATAGTGATAGAGTAGAGTATCAATCCCACAAAGAAGAATGTTTACTTGCAATAACAAGCACTGTCTACTTCAACTACAATAATTGTCCTACTCAATAATGATTTTATGGAGATTCAATCACTTAATTTCAAATCTAAAAATTAACTATAATACTATTTGGATAAATTATTTTAGATTGATGAAATGTAAATACAATATGTTTCCTATTGATTCTCAATCATATTGATATTATGCAGAGCATACACGTCACTGACCACTCAATGAAGTGTGAAGTGACAAATAATAGATTAAACTCTTCAAACCTCAATTCTAATTTAAACTTTTATAGTATATAACCCTATGAAAATATTAGAAGACTAAGTAAAATTTTTACTATTAAAAACCCAAATAATAATTAATCTCTATAAATTTGATACATAACAAGCATTATGCATATGCTTGCATTATACCAATCCAACATTCCTCGTTATGCCTACTTTCCTATTTTAAGGCTCCACATTAAACTTGATATTAACTAGACATTTGGACACTATGTGCATTAACTGAAGACCATGTATATTAAATATCATGAAATTATTGATGAAGATAACTCATTAGTTCTCCATATTTCAATTATACCAATAATTTAAAATTAGAGAATTTAGCCAAACATGAAGAACAAGTGAAGCATATTCATTTTCATTAATTACATAAAAAAAAAGAAAGTATAGAAGAAAAGATTTTCATAGATGGCTTCAATGATCTCCTCTACACACCTAGAACTTACATAATGTCTTCCACAATACAAGCCAAACACTCTAATGTTATTTATCTAGTACTTCACTAAATTCTCATAGTTATCATTCCTAAGAAAAAATAAGGCAAGAACAATAAGGTTTGAAATTAAAAAATCACCGAACTCTCCTACTAACACTACATACAGTCTATTTATTAAAAAAGTACATAAAATAAATTTTAGCATAATAGCATTTGAGACACTTGCGCAAAGGCACCCATAAGAAAAACTAATGTTGTGGCACTGAATGGTTTTCTCCACTATGGTGCTTGCTGATATGGACCTAGTACTAAATGAATTAATGCATCACTTTGTTGGCAGATTGTCACCTAAATAGTTACAACTGTAGCGCCATAATGCTGTTGATGATTGAGGGCTATGACATCCATGTTGCGATGTATACATGGAACTAGAATTTGGCACCACTGCATTGTGCAGATAGAGATTATGCTTTCTATCATTGACCCCTCAAACGTTGTGGCATGGGGAAAGTTGGATGGGCTTTATAGTGCTAACTACTCCGACATAGCAGTGTTGTCAAATAGCTACTGGGCTTTGACATGTTCATATTTGGGCACTCCGGTGGTGTCAACGGTGGCATCGTGCAAGTATTATGTCTGACATCATGAAATTGTACCATACTTCAAAATTTTACACATTTTCTATATTTTTCTGCACAAACACAACTAAGCAATACATTTTCATTGATAAATTAACATAAAAATTTTAACTTTTTTAACACTTAACAAATCATCCCCAGTTTAAGCTCTTGCTTGACTTCTAGTAAATAAAAAGTTTATAATTCTGATTAAATGATTAACTAAAATAAAAAGTGATAATCTAAAATTAGTAAAATATAGAATAGTATATCACTATCTAAAATAAGTAAAAATGAATTAAATTTATACTTCTATTTTTGAAAATATCAATAATTAATCTTAATAAATCATTCTTATGTTTACCTAATTTGAATTTATAGGTTATAGATTTAACAATTAGCTTTTGATTATTGAAGTGAATAATGTAGTTTTAATAATAGGAAATAATTAAAGTTAAAATTATACTTTCATTGGTTCACCATACCATATATTAGATCTTTAATGTTATCCTTTATAACTTTTGTATAATATTATATTTCAAATCTTTAAACTTTTATTGATACCAATTTTTAAATGTACTCATCTTTATCTTTTTATATTTTATATTTCTTTTTCTTTTTAAAAATTATTTGTAGTTATTTTTCTTTTCTTTTTCTTTTTTGAAGTACATATTTAATGATTTTTAGTATCAACTTCTACTTTAGGATTGTCATACAGTCTTAATAGATTTAATGTATAGATTTGATGAGATTACTAATTCTATTTTCAAGTTAGCTATGATGTCAATTTTTAATCTACTCATACATAATTTTTAATACTAATTATTCATCTTAGAATTTTTAAGTAAAGGTCATAAAGGTATATCTTATAAATTCAAATTAGGGTAATAGCTCAAATGGTTGAATGAGTTAAGTATTAGATTTTCCAATCTATGAATTATAAACATAGTTCATTCAAACTAGGATCAAGGTTTTTAGTATTATTTTAATTTTTTATAATTTTTAATTATCATTTCTATAAGGGTTAGTTAAATAATCAGAATATAAAAGTGATTGGAGAATAATAATAATTTAAATATGAAGGGAATATGCTAATATGTAAATAAACACATAAATAAATATTACAAACACATAAATAAGTGATAAAAAGTGCATAAAATATGTATAACATAAAATTCTTAAGATAATACATTTACAAGATAACTAATGCATATGTAATGACTCTCAAAGCAAAAATTTCTCAAATAAGTACAATTACACAAGCCAAAATCTCCCAGCTCTTCCTTCTTTTCTACAAATCAATAAAGTAGAATAAAAAAATCCCATACACATCCTTAAGAATTATTTACTCCTCTAATCGCATGGTTTCAATCTATACCCATTGACTTTTATCGTTTGCAAAGTTTTCATATCATGTATCCTGATAGCACCATTAAAAAAAAATCTCATGATAATGAAAGTAATAGCCCATCCTGACTTGATTTTAATGGGAATATATTTTTTTATAATCAAATGGCAGCACATCTTTCCCAAGAAAGAAATCATACAAGAAAACTCTACTACTATGCATCTTTCTTATTTCTATTATGTACTTCTTCTTATCTTCATGTAACTCCTCAATGAATTATTTCAACTTTGTAATAATGACAATACTTTGCACGTGGAGAAGTAAAGAATCCTCATTCTGATAAAATTTTCATTTTGTTTCATTGTAGAAGAGGACGTATGTTTGGTTCTACCCATCACTTAGACTTTTGATTTTCAAGAGAAGAACATTTTATGCCCCTCAAGAGTTGAGAAAGACTAAAAGATAACTTCCTCCTAATTGGTTTTATAGATTTTAGGGTAGGAAAGTTTTAAAATTTTGAATTTTCAATCATTAAGGGGTCATCGGGGAGCTGTGGAGTTAAAAGGTATGATGTCGCGGTGCTCCCTGCTTCTCTCTGAAAGTTTTTTTTTAAAGAAAATTAAATAAAGCCTAATCTTCAAGATAGGTTTGCCTCACTAAAGTGATAAGTTTATAGTCTTTAACAAGACTAGATAACTAACTAGACCTATAATTGATTTGCCCCCCAAGCAGCGATAAGTTTATAATCTTCACTTAGACTTTACCTAGATTTTCCATTTAGTTAACGTGGATAATTACTTTTCTTCTATTGGGTCCCATTTGTATATATCATTCTCTTTAGGATTAGCTCAATGCTAAAAGGAAGATATCTAATGGGTCTAATACTCACAGAAATTACAAGCTACTTAGTTGAGTTTCCAAATTTTTTATTGAAGTGGCTTGGTTTAATAATTAAGTTCCTAATTGCATGACCACATCTTCTAGAGGTGTCTTCCAAGCTCTATATATATTTCTTTGATTAAACAAAGAAAGATATGTTGTTCTTAAGTTATTATTCGCTTAATTTTGATTATTCCAATTTTTGCCTTGGTTATTTTGACTAAAGCTCCATTTATTTCAAACATTATTATTTGACCAATTAAAATTTGGGTGATTTCTCCAACCTGGATTATATGTATTTAAATAGGGATTGTTTTTTATTCCAATCAAATTAATATTTTAAACCATTAGATATCATTTTTTTCATTGCACTATTATCTTCCAAATATAAAGATGAATCAAAATTTAAGCCTAAAGTGCTCAATTTCTTTGATATTTTTTCAACTTGTTGAGTTAAAATATATAAAAAATAATTTTCATAAGCTCCAAACACTCTTGTAGGATTCACCCTGTTAGTTGGCCATTAAAAATTATTTTTTATCATTTCTCAATTAAGTTATAATCCTCTTCAAATGTATTAACATCAAAGAACCTCTAGTTAAAGCATTAATTATGGCTCTAAGGTATCCTACTAATCAATTCTAA